GTTTTTTTTCTTTCCTCTGATTGTTTTTCTTCACGTTGTTACTGTTTCCCGATGAACCAACTCTCCATCGTCACAAACTCCTCTGTCTCCATGATGCACTGGGTTCTTCTGTCCAGAGAGAGTCCAGGGATTAGAAGACAGAAGACCCTACACACAAATAAGTTCATTCTAAATGTATTTTTTATGGAGATCATACGTTTTAAAACTCTGGTTTCAGTAAACTTTCTTTATTTAACTTGTAGAAAACCAAGAAAACACCAAAGTTCAAATAAGACCATCTTTAATAACCCAGCTCCTGCAGGATCAGGGTGAAGCCGATGGTCAGACAGTAGAACACACACAAAGGCAAAGGATACGATATTTAAAAATGTAGAAAAAAAATTAATGGAAAAAATCATGAGACCTCATTCAGAAAAGACTGACTTTGCTTTTGAGGGGTTTATTTGATTTCATACATCACAAAAAAATAGAGACATGATCATTACGTCACAGGTTCCAACAGTTAAACTTATTATTACTTGATCATTCAACACAATTTGGAGCCTTCCTCGGCCGTGATTACTGATCCATGTTTTCAGGCGTGTGAGGTTTCTCCTCCTCCTCAGGAACATTTTCAGGCACGTTTTCATCGAAACCACTATCCATGAACTTCATCCTACTCAAAAACACACAGAAAATACAAGGCCATGAATAAAACTTTACTGTAGAAGGTCTGAAATCACAACCAGGACCAACGAAGGAGGCGCAGTCAGACAGTGACTCACCTGTTTAACCTGTGGTCACAGAATGAGCCCAGACGAAGCAACTCGGACTGGAAATAACTCTGCGAAACAAAAATGTTGACAGCTGAAGGTGGTTCAAGTCCCGGAGCTGAATTTGATGAGTTTCTACCTTTATGTGTGCGTTCATCTGGTTCAGATGTGTCGAGTTCTCTTCAAGTTTCTTCAGTTGATCCAAGACATTTTTTTCAAAGTTTTTTAACAGCAACAACCTGCACAAATGTATAGACATTTGATGTCCAGTAGTTCTTTTTTTACTTCCTGTTTGGTCATACAGTATCTGTGGGCTGTGCAGTACCTCTGGTGGTGTACAGCTGTTAGCAATGACGACATCTGTTGTTGGCACTTCAGGAAAGACTGATGAACCTCCTGTTCCACCTTTTTCATGCAGCTCTGAAACATCAAATCAACAGCGACTCCAGTCGTGAGCATCCATGACTAACAACCAAGATGACCTTTGAACCTCTGAGCTCACTAACAGTCAAGTGTTGCTCCAGTTGTTCTCTGAAGTTTCTGAAAGCACTGCTGATGCCTGATGTCAACTCTGACTGTGGCTCAACCTCTGGTGTGGGTGATGTCACCTCTGCCTTCTCTCGTCCTCCTGTCAGCCCCACCTCCTCTGAGGGTGGATCTGCTTCCTCTGCTGAGTCGAAGACGGAGTTCAAGTCCTGGGCCTGATCTTCATCATATGCTGCCCCTGAGGCAGAGTGGATCTCTTCGGTCTGTGCCTCTGACCTCTTCTTCTCAGCAGGGGAACCCTCCTTCACCTCCGACAGGAATCCTTCACACAAACAACAACAACATGAGGAAGCCCCGCCTCCTGTGAGCACAGCACCTTAGTGTTGGATGACATCACACCTGAGTCTGATGAGGTCCTCTTCCTGTTGCTGCCGACAGCTTCCTAATAGAGACAGAGGGACACAGGTGACCAATGGGAAACCAGTGAAGTCTTCTATAAGACGGATGCGTACAGTATACTGTACCTGTTTGGGTGAAGCTCCAAAATCCTCCTCATGTCCATCTGACTCATCTGGAATATCTACTGAAAAAGATTATATATTTAGAAATGATTTTTGGAGTGCATTCAGAGCTGTGGTTCATTTACAGGATTCAGTTTTCAGCTCCTGACCAACATCAAGCTGCGGTCTGTCTGACTGGAATTTTGGTGCTTCAACTTCTGACCTGATCTGACCAGAGTTTGGCGTTTTAAGTGACTGAATTCTGGTCCACCATTGAGCTTTATGTACAGTGCAATACCAGTGTGGACCAGTAGGTGCTGAAGATGCATTTGCCCTGTATGAGACTTGACAGCAGCCGTGGGCAGGTCATTGGAGGACGGCAGGTTTGGTCAGTGTTTGACTGGTGTCAGTCTCAGACCTGAATGGTGCTTTCACTGTCCAATCAGGTGAAACGTTCAGGGACTCACCTGACTGGAGGTTTGGCGTTGAATGTACGATGGGATCAAACAGAAGCTCTGCTGAGCTTTTTCTTGAAATCTGAAATGGAAAGACAGGAGACATGAAGCAGTTTGTGACACACACTTGTTTCCGTTCACTCGTCTTTTTCAACGTTTGATCACCTTCAGTAGAACAGTAGAGTCGTCCTCGCTGCTTGGAGACGACAGAGGAAGAACTACACAAAAGAACAAAAGAAAGAAACGACCCATTTGAACATGTTGCTGTGACACATCCAATCAGAGGAGACGTCCAACCTTTAGCTTCATAAAGAGTTAAAGCGACTTTTGGAATTTGAAACAAAGCCACATCAATCAGAGGAGACGTCCCACCTTTAGCTTCATAAAGAGTTAAAGCAACTGACTTTTGGAATTTGAAACAAAGCCACACGAGTGTCTGCTGCCGCCTCACCCTTCAGTTTACTCTTTCTCCTCGATTTCATCCTGCCAAAGGATGGGACACGATTCTTCCATCCAGGGGTAGGGGTGGGAACTGGTCCCCACTGGGAACAGGTGGGTAAGTTGAGGGAGGGGGTAGTTTACACACCAACAGTTAAGAAAAAAAAACATTTGCACAGATAAAGCCGTACCTTAAAGACTTTCTCTGTCGCCTCACGCAGGCCTCCCTCATACTCAGAGCTGAAGGTGATCTCCACCCTCTGACCTTTGCTGCCATTATGCGTGATTGGATTGTTTAGCTGGATGCTAAGTATCATCTCAGACCCAGTGCATTCTGGGAAAACACACAGACACGGTGTGAGACAGTGTAGGAAACAGCGGCTGCTGATACCTGACCTTCTGTCTGACCTTCTGTTTGTGTCAGCGACCGACCTTCACCTTTGAACAGGAGAGTGTAGTGATTCAATTCGTCTTTGAACAGATGAATGGAGCCCCACAGGAAACCCTGACCACAGCAAATCAAGCAGAAACATCAGTTTGTTGACTGAAGGAACGCAGGTTCTCACCAACCTAAACATGTTTGGTTTGTTCTTTCAAGAAAATGGCCACAGCCACAACTCAAGCACTACAAAAAAAGTTATTTATGATACATACTTGAGGATCATCGACAAAGAAGCTCACACACTCTGACTCGACATTGAAGTCGATCCAGAACTGATCCAGTTTTTCATCTTTGGGTTTAAAAAGCTGCCGAAGAAAAATATGACGACAGTCGTGTGAGGCCACTGTTCGTGAAAGTCACGTAAACATCGGTTGGTTAGAAAAAGTTAGCACGGATAATGGAATTCTTTACCTGTCTTTGTTCCAGGTAGGCACTGACGCAGGGGAAGGTGAAAACCCTGACAGACAAAAAAACAGGAAGAATTAAAAAAATAAAAAGATCCAAACAGTTCTACGTTAGTTCTTGTTCCACTCACTTCCTGTGGTTCCCACGGGAACTGTTCACAAAATTCAAAAAGCATCTGCAGTCCTGTTGGTGAGAGAGCAGCTCAGACGGGGGTTCTGACCGGGGTTCAGGGACAGAGGTCCGTCACTCACCACCTCGAAGTCTCTGTCTCTGATGTCACAGAACGCCCGGCTGATGTCATCGTTGAAAAACCAGCTGTTGGCCTTGAGAGGGCGCTGTTTCCTGGGCGTCAGGCGACACAGAGCCTCTGATAGGCTGATCTGCAGCTCGTAGTCTAAGACGACAAACATTCATCCGTTAGTTCAGAATCAGTGGGTTTGAACCAGTGTCACATCCTGTGGTGATCACTGACCTCCGACCGAGAGGACGGCTGCGGCCAGCTGTGACCTGACAGGTGGACAGACAGGTTAGTGTACAGACAGGCCAGACGGAGGGGGGAGGGAGGGAGAGAGGGACAGACAGACAGACAGACAGAGACATTACTGCATTAGTTCCTGGTTCTTGTCATTCTGGATCTTTCTCTTCTGTTCTCGATTCAGTGACTCCAGGATGCTGTTCAACGTTCTGATGGCCTAGAAAAAAAAGAAAAGAAAAAACTTCAATCTCACTGTGTCACAGACTGAGGCTCTGGTACCAACAGCACTGCTACTAAGATTAAAACAATAATAAGAATAATGATAATTACCTCCAGTCTGACTGGGAAATACACGTTTGATTCTAAAGCAAACTGAGCCAATTGGAGAAGAACTGCCGACAGCTCATTGGCTGAGAGAGAGAGAGACGGGTGAGACAGGTGAAAAGACAGATGTAGAGAACCTCAGGTATCTGCTACAGTTGTCCCTCATCCAGGACAGGGTTCTTCTTGTGCAGATCTCTGGAACTCAACTTATTTGGAATAAAGAATATTTGAACCACAAACCTGGGACGAACGACTGAGGCAGCACCTGGAAGACAGGAAGACAGTGATAGGTTTAGGGATTGAACACCAGGGCGTCATTGTGACGTCACGACGGACGTTCCCATCCTGCTTCTCACCTGGAAGTAATCGTAAAACTCCTCGGTCAGGCCAAGTAAGGCGGCGGAGCTTTTATGGAGGTCAGATGTCAGGAGGTTGCGAACGGCTTCAAACAGAGCAAAATCTGGGCAAAAAAATATGGCTAAAGTAATCATAATGAGTTAAATAAACTGTAAACTAGTTAACAGATAATCCGATTACCTTGGCGACCAACCCGTGGTCAACAAGTGTTTGAAGATCATCTTTATTTTCAGACAGAATCTGTAAAGACTTCAGGGCAACCAGAACTTTGTTGAAACCGGATCCACACACCGCCTGTAGACAAACAAAAACCAAACAAGACCCTGCTACACACTTACTGGGCTAGTGCAACACCCTGTGGACAATTTTTGAAACTGCATCCACCGTACAGTATAGACACAGTGTCACCGATCATTTATTTACAGTAACAAACCTGGTCTGGACCCGGTGTCGAAACATGACATCTAGTTTAACAGGGACAGTTAGCTGAGATTTGTGACAAACGTCGGCGTCTTGCGCCCCCTGTTGTTACCTTTGTAACGCACTGGTCCAGTCTGGTGAGGACAGCGGCGGTCAGACCCTCATTACGAAGGTAAGAAACCAGATCGTTCGATTCCCCGCGGATGAAAGTCTCCTCTAACTGGAGCTATACAAAAAAAAAAACAAAAAACTTCAGTTTAATTAAAACACGAGAGAGAAGTGAAATAATCAAAACTGTTATTTACCATCATGTCTCAAATTCTCTTGTTCTGATGTTCTGTAGTTTGTGCATAAACACAGGAGAGCGCGCACCTGCCGAATATTAAATCAGCATTTAGAATCAGGTGTGCGCAGAAAATAGGACCAACGGCCGCGGAAGGATTCTAACGTACAAGCTCACAGTTAAAAAATACACAAACTTAAAATAAACTTGTCTGAAAACAACTTTGAATAGTATTATTATTGTTGTTGCTGTTAGAAGGAGTTCGTTTGGTTTTAATTATTTCGGTTCTACGGTTAGTTTTACTTATTGCCAGCAGATGACGCCATTTACAACAACATAAAAACAAGCCACGAAGAATACGTTTAGCTGCACGTTATACAAACACGATTTTTATATATAACGATTTTGTTATAATTATTTGTTTTGTTTTGTTTATGTGTCCGTGAGTTTATTTATTTAATTAAAAAAAAAATCCCGGTCAACCCATACACCACCCACCTCGACCATTACATGGCGCTGTGTTACTGGAGATAAAATACCACACCCTTTCAAGAAACTGTGGGACCATTTCCTTGAAGGTCAGTCAGCAGATGTCTCCATGAGACTGAAGTAGTTACTATACACAAACAGGTCTTATTTTAACTTTTCTTTCACAGAAATCGTATTATACTGACCTAATCTGACTCATATACGTATTTTCACCCACGTGATTTCTACACGCATGTGCTGGTGATGTGGTACAGCACAGGAGGCAAAAAAAAAAGAAGAAGGAGATACCTCTAGTGACTTTAGCTTCTATGGACCTGGTGCAGGAGATGTCTAATTTAGATTTTTTTTTTTTGGCTTTTTTTATCCTTTATTTTTTTTAATTGAGTCAAAATCAAGTCATTAATTTAGATTTTTTTTGTGGCTTTTTTTATCCTTTATTTTTTTAATTGAGTCAAAATCAAGTCAAATTTGTCACATATTGTGTACGGGACCTACAGACTAGTGAAATATCCATGCTGTTAGACTCACAGTGAGTCGAAGTAATAAGAAAACAAAACAAAAACAAACAAAAAAACAAAACAAAAAACAATAAATGTCAAAAAGCCGAGGGAATGCAAAAGAAAGAGGAGTAAAAAAAGAAGATGGAAATTACTATGACTAAATATTACTATTATCATATTAAATATATATATTAGTTGTTGTCCATATAAGTATGAGTATATATATATTAGTATTGTATTGTATTTCGTTGTTGTCTTCTTTGTCCAAACGAAATGTGATTTGTGACAAAAATTAAAATAAATTAAAAAACAAAACAAAAAAACAGGTGAACAGGTCGTTCTGCCCTTTAATTGATGACTAATGAGTTTGTTTGTTTTGGGAGAAACATGAAAGTGTTTACACACACACACACACACACACACTCCTCCTCCTCCTCCTCCTCCTCCTCTTCCTCCTGTTCTCCGTGTTCTTTCACTCTCACCTGAGTCTCCTCCTCAGGTCAGGTTCTCTCTGACTCTGACTCTGTCAGGCCACAGTCACACTCTCTGATTTGGTTGGTTTTTATTATTGTTATTATTTGAACACGTTAACCTTCCAAACCAGCTTCAGGTGTGAGCCGGATTTTAAAGAACTTTTTTTTTTAAGTCTGCTTTTCTAAACTCTGACTTGTCTGGAGTCTGGAAGATACAACCGAAAGGTTTGTATAAGAAAAAGAGCAGAAAAAACAAAAACAAAACCCAGAACCAGGACTTGGGACGATACCAGGACTAGGACCAGGAGCCGATACTTGGGACTTGGGATTCGGGTCAGGATCGGGTCCAGAGCATGTCCCGGGCGGAGGATCGGGAGGAGACGGACTGTGTTTGTTCAGTCGGGATGAAGTTAACGTGGGACATCAACGACCCCAAACTACCGCAGGTAAAGTCATCACTGATCCACTGATCGTCAACTACAGGAAACAAACAGATGTAGAAAAAAAAAAATCCATCATGATACAAAACGTCAAGTTTTTCTAACACGGACTTCGGTTCGGGTCTCTCTTCTCAACGGTTCTGTGACGAATTTAAAGCAAAAAAAATAAAAAATCGAGTCCCTTTAATCGAATACAACTCACGAATTAAATTAACTCTTATTTTATCATTCGTTTTCCTGAACGGATATATAAAAAAAACAAAACACCCATAAACATAAACATGACTTAAACGGGAAAAAAACTTCAAACCAAATACGTTTTAATCAGATTTTCAATGAATAATAATTAATTAAAAAAAAAATCAGATATTCATAATCAATTTGGATCAAAATTAAAAACGTTACATTAAATAAGATTTGTATAAAGACATAAAATAATATTTGACATTTCATGGTACAAATGTATTTCAATTAAAAACAACTAACTGTGGTCACTTTCCCATTCAAATTAGAACAATTATAATTCTGATTATCAGCAGATGAACAGATTCTAAGGTTAAACAATCAAAGAGACAAAGAGAATGAAATTCAAATGAATCAAATCAAATATTTAAAGAAGTTTTCTGAATCAACAGAACAATGAAGCACAATATAAAAAAGATAAAGAAAATATTTCTGGATAAATAAAAACAGGAACAGTTTTTACAATAAAACAGAAACTGAAAACTAAAAACGGTGCTGAAAAAAAGTTTTTACACTTTGTTTAAATGAACTCGTCAAGTTGAGTTTGGTTTTGATGATTTTTCTGAAGATAATGATTTTTGTAAAATGATGACTCTCTCTCTCTCTCTCTCTCTCTCTCTGTGTGTGTGTGTGTGTGTGTGTGTGTGTTACACTCAGCTGACTGCTCCACTTTGTTTTTGTTCAAACAGTAAAAACTGGTTTTTATATTTTTGTTGTTAGTGAAAACATACCAGACACTCAGAGAGACTTTTTCTCACAGATCAGTTTCCATAGAATAATAGTAATTATGGGAAATAATTTGATTTAATTTTCTTTAACAAATGGTTAAAAGGTTTGGTAATTTGGAAAACTGCAATGGATTTAGTTTTAACCTGGAATTTAAAAAAAAGCAACAATAAAATAAATATGACTTGGAAATAGAAGTCAGTTTTTCACACACGTTACAAATATTAATTCTATACACATTAACAAAACAAATCCCTCTAAAATAAGTCATAATGAAAAAAATATCTTTGTTAATTATTTTAGAAGTGACTTCACACACAGCACGTCTGGACACAGGTACCTAGGAAACCTTATTGACTTTTTTATACTGTATATACAACAAAAGTCGTCCTCACCGTGTAGGACTTCACGGCAAATACTAAACAACCAAGTTTCAATATGCCTCAGTAAGAACTGTTGATGCTTGAATCAAAGCTGTTGTGAGAAGTGTGGTCACAAAGAACAAACAAAAAGTTATTTAAACTTTTTTTAAAGACCTCAGTCTGAAGATCACAAACTGTAAAATGAGTTCACAGACTGGAAGAAAACCATGTTGGTCTGATGAGACTGAACTAGAACCTCTCAGATCAAAGAGGTGTTAATTATGTTTAAAGACGCAACGGAGAGGCAGAGAACCCAAAGAACACTGTCCTCATAGTTCAACACAGAAGAAGGATTAAAGGCAGAAGACACCGAGATGATTAAAACAAAGATTTGAGGAGTCGGAAAAGAAGGAGAGTCGAGTATGAAGTAAAAAAAAAATTTATTTGCTCTAAAAAATACAAACCAACAATTTAGTGAATACACTGTTTTACATGTAATGAAATATAAATACGTGTACTTAAAATACATTAAAGTACAATTATAAACACCTGCAAATTAAAGCATTAATTGAATTGGGTGAAAACAAAAACAGCTGCAGTGGTTTATCAAACACTACATTTACTGTTTCATAAATACTAGACTTTGTGTTGAAGTTTGGTTAAACAATGTTGATGTGAATGAGTTAATGGAAACTGATTTCTGTTTAAACGACAAATGATGATTTCAGTAAAAAAGACAGAAAGTTGTCAGAGTAAATCACCTTCTACCAGGAGATTCTGTCGTGTTTCCTTCCAACATCACATCAGGTGCTGCCGTGTAGATGTCATCGTGGTATATCTGTGATGACTGACCTGCCGCTGTCTTTACGCCAAACTCACGTTCTACAAATTGAAGGCAAAGTAAAACAAAATATAAAATAAAAGAACCAAGTACTGAGTTTCTCTAACAGATAAAATAACATTTTCCGTCGTCTTTCTCTTAAATCCAGTGAATTCCTGTGGTCAAAGGTCGAACAAAAAGAAATATATACAGACAATTTTGATTTGATCGATCAAGTTTGAAGTTTTCATATTATTTATTATACGTCTTGTGTTGATAAACATCAGGTTCTCGTCCTCTCTGTTGGACACTCAGATCCTGATGTTTTCAGTTGATGACATTTTATTAATTTATTCAGTTATTTGTAGTCTTCGTAATAATAATACAGTGTTCTGAAAAAAATCTTCAGACAGAAGAATAAATATTATTGTTTCTCGTTATCTTATTATTGACTGATCCTAAAATAAAATAATGAGAAAATGTATTTATTATAACTGACTTAAACTATAAATTGACACTTATTGCTGTACATATACATATTATAATAATTATATTGACTTATTTTTGTATTTAAAAATAATTCTCTAGATGTTTTTCCTATGCTGGAGTTTATTTATCTCGTTCTTTTAAAATGTTCCAATTTCTGATTCCAATTGAGTTTCGTTTCCTATGCTGAATTTATTTATCTTTTTAAAAGTTCCAATTTCTGATTCCAATTGAGTTTTACACTTTTCAACTGTAATAAATCTGACATTCCTGATTGGTTGAAATCCCAAACAGGAACAGTGTGAACAGATCATCTCTGACCCTCTGTCTCTTTGTCTCACTGTCTGTTTTCTGTCCTTCAGGACACAAAGCAGTTTGACCCGTTCCAGGAGTGGACGGACGGCTATGTCCGCTACATTTACAGTGGTGAGACACGCACTTAGTTATTTAGTCTAAAAGTCACACGTTATGGTGAACAGTCGACCCTACAAGTTGTTGTTGTTTCATCCACAGCTGAAGATAAAAATGCACAGCGCCACCTTTCTGGCTGGGCAATGCGAAACACCAACAACCACAACTGCCAGATCCTGAAGAAGTCGTGCTTGGGTGTGGTGGTCTGTTCACGTGGTTGCACCTTAGCCGATGGGTCCAGACTGCAGCTCCGCCCTGCCATCTGCGACAAGGCCAGGCAGAAGCAGCAGAGTAAGAAAAAGCACAGATAAAGCAGGTGAGCGCCCCCTGGTGACGGCGTACTGACCGGACTCTGTGTGTTTCAGAGAAGCTGTGTCCGAGCTGTAACTCCGCTCTGGAGCTGCTGCCGTGTCGAGGTCACAGCGGTTACCCTGTCACCAACTTCTGGAGAGTGGACGGAAAAGCTATTTTCTTTCAGGTCTGAAGGTCATGAGGTCACAGAGGTGGAATGGACTCAAATTCAAATTTGATAAAAAAAATATTTATCTTAATTTTGTCTTCAGGCTAAAGGTGTCCATGATCACCCCAGACCAGAGTCCAAGTCCGAGACTGAAGCCAGGAGGAGTTCAGTGAAGAGACGAGTCAATTCACCTCCATTCACACCGAAGAGACGACTGATCGAAACTCAGGTCCGAAAACAACATCTCAACAACAACATACAGCGGTGGTTTTACTCACATGTTGTTGTCGATTGTTAACCGTTTTATTTGTCCTTCCTCAGACTCTCGGGCCTCTCCTCTCCTGTGTGGAACCAGCAGACAGAATCTCCTTCATTGACCCAAATTTCCCACAGCATTACCCAGCATTCCAGAGTCCAGATCCATACTACAACCCCCATAATACATTAGGGGAGGCTCCGCCCACACTCCAAAAACCAGCCAATCCCAGGCTTTACATGAGCCGCCCCAGCTATGAGTTCCAGGGATACCTGACGCCACCATCATATCCAGTGACCACCGACCTCTGTGATCCAAGGTCAGACATTCAGACTATTCAGGTCCAAGATGGACCCAGGTTCTTCCACCACAAATATCCCACCTGCCATCTTAATTGTGTTTATTTTAAACCAGTTTTATTTTCCTACATCTACAGGATGACCCCTGTCTTAGGTTCTTCGTCCTCCTCCTCATCTTCAACGTCTGCTCCTCTCTCCGCCTCCTCGTCTTATGACACACAAAACAAACCTCCTCCTGGTTGGAAAGAATTGCTAAAGACCTCCACCCCGTACGGAGATAATCACCATTACTACAGCGCTGACTACCCCTGTCGTTACCCCACCAACACCCCAGGGTCACCCGCGGCTTTGCAGACCATCATCACCACAACGACTAAGGTACGCTGGGTTCTTTTAGAGATCAGTTCAGTTTAGTTTTGAATGTCCCATCATCTAACTGAAACACTGTCTCGTCAGGTGTCCTACCAGCCCTGTCCCAAACCTCCAACAGCACTGCCTTCGTACCAGTCCTGTCCCAAACCTCCTTCTAGCCTGACTCCTTACCAGCCATGCCCTCCTCCCAAACCCCCCGGCCTCCCCGGCTGCTCTTCCCTGCTCGACGATGCCTCCTCTTCAGCGTACTCAACCGAGGTGAAGGTGACGGACGAGTCTGGTGGAGTCATCAAGTCCTTATCGTTCCAGCCCGAACCTCTACAGACCAAAATGGAACGAGCAGACGGCTACGACTACCGATACGCCTACGCCAACACGTACCGCTATGATGACTACTGAGGCAGCGAAAACAATGGTACAAGAACAAGTTTAAACAAAGGTACAAGCGTTGCTACAAGAACAAGCGTTGATCAAAAGCACATGACACCATTAAAGGGACAACGTACATGGTTTTAAGCAAGTGACATCATCATCAGTTTCTCCAGGTCGCCCTCTAGTGGATTACACCTCATTTTTTTTCTGCCCAACGTTCATCATGTCTCTCTGTATCATACGACCCGGGCAGTGGTGTGTGTTACATTTTTGTGTCCTCTAGAAACAAATGTTATCAAGGAGGAACCTTTAAGCTCTGCCTCTAGTTTGTACTGTAAATATTATCTGTCTTTTGAGTTATTTATTGGACAAGTCATGTGTCATGAATAGGACTGATTTGGTCTGGACGGATCGTAAATGGACTGAACTGGTCTTGACAAGACTGAATTTGACTTAACAAGATAAACACATTGTGACATTCACCTGTAATCAACATCTGTCAAATAAACAAAACGAAATGAGTCTCTGCCTGCTGCCCCCTGCTGTCCACGGTATGAATTTTGTTCCTATTTCTTGGATTTGTTTTAATTACATTTGGCAGTTTGAAGCTACAGTCAGATGAAGGCATAGACTGATTCAGAACCTTGAACTGGTCTACCAGATACTGGACCTTAGTCTGGAACCTGAAAATAAACTTCACCTTGTCGAACCGTAGGCTTGCGGAAAGCCAGATGGTGGTGCTGTTGCTGGTGTAGAGTCACTAGAGAGAGCAATGTCGTCTCCAATGGTTTGAACTCACTGTGACATCACCGTTGTCCATCTCAGGATCACCCACTGTTACCTGGGTGTCCTCTGAAGGTCCACCGTCTCAGGACTGAGCAGATGATCAAAGAGCGGCTTTTTTTTCAGAGTGTGAGTAATAAATGTTGTTTTGACAAGAACTCGTCAGGACAGGAATCACAACTGTCCTCGCCATGAACCAAGAAAAGCTCGGTCACGTCGTCTAGCATGACTCCTCCCCCCCAGCTCCACCTTCTCCCCCTCTTTCACTACCTTCCATTATGATCACTCATCCTGGTCTCCGCTGCTGCACCTCACTCGTTACCTTCGCTTTAGTTTACATTAACTTTAATCACTTCACTCTTTACCTGAGTCACAGGTGACAGGAAGTGACAACACACACCTGATATCCCACTCCGATCCAGACAGGTTAGAGGTCAACTGCAGGTGGGACTAAGACACAGCCGCTGAAGACACACAGACAGGACAGACAGACAAGCAAATGTTACAAAGAGGGAGAACGTCAGGTGTGAGAGACACGCAGGCAGCCAAGTGTCCAACTAACATGGACATCAAACGAGACAGTTGGATTAAGGTCTGGAAAAGAAAGACAGGAGGTGATGTTGACAGAGATACAGTATTCAGGTGAGGCAGCATGAAAACTGGGACAGGAAAATGAGACATCCAGTAAATGTCTTGGGACCAATGATGGGAAAGAGACAGACTGACAAACACAAAGGCGATTGCTATATGAAGAGGCTGAGAGAGAGACAGACAGCTCAGTCCTAGAGACAAACACAGGACAAAAGAGGAGAGGCAGGGACGCAGAGACAGACAGCTGTGTCCAGGTAAATAAGACAGGGACTGTAGGACAAACAGGTGAAAGGACAGGTGTTTTTTAGACAGATTTCCCTGATGGTGGTCTAGTGGTTAGGATTCGGTGCTCTCACCAACATGGTCTGGGTTTGATTCCCGGTGAAAGGAACTCCTGTGGATTTAATGAAGTTCTATCTATCTTTTTTTTCTAAATGAAAATTGAGGTCATGAAATCTAAAGGTTATAAATCATATAAAATGTGTGTTTCAAAAAGAGCCTACCTCCAGGTGAGGTGTTGTGATAATTGGCTAAAGGTGGTAACAAGGTGATTTGCTAAAGCTGGCTCACTAAAGTTGTAGATAGAAGATGTTTTCTGGCCTCATCAGCCAACACCTCACCTGTCTCTCACCTGTGAAGCAGATAATCCTAAAGGAACGCTGTAATTCTATCCTACATCTTCTTATCGTCTTATCTCCTTCTTCTTCTTCTTCTTCTCCTTCTAGTCAACTGCAGATCTTCATCACTGCTTTCACACGCAAATCATTTCATCCTGAATAAATCATCTCCTGTCTGACGGAAGACACCTTTACAAACAATGACACATCTGCTCCCACCTTCCAGCCGCTGCTCTGATGTGGCTCCCACTAATGGATGTTTTCATTTGATGCTACATGGTTGTGATTCAGAGACAACAGAGAGACAGGAGACAGAATACTAATAAGAAAATGGAGGACACGAGACCTGCAACTGACCTCTGAACTTTGTGAGTCATTTCACACCACTATAGCTGTTTGACTTTAGTTACTAACTTAACTGACTTTAGCGTTAACTTTAGCATTTTTACTCTGTTCACTTTAGCAATGACTGTGAAACTTTAGGAGCTATAGTTCCTGTGTTGACAACATATGTTGTGAGCTACAGCAGCCGTTAACTTCAGCTGCTACATTAGCCACATTTCACTTCAGCAGCTACGGTACAGTAGTTGTTTAAACTGAGCTGCTAACTCTAGCTACAATAGCTGTTTGGCTGAAGCAACTTCAGGAGCAATTTAACGCACAAAAAAAAAACTGTTTCCACCCGGTCTCGAACCGGGGACCTTTCGCGTGTTAGGCGAACGTGATAACCACTACACTATGGAAACGCATAAAATGGCGAGTACCCCAGCAAAACACCTATAATAGCTATTGGTTTTACGCTAGCATTAGAGCTATGTTTGATATAAGCAGCTCATTTTTACAGCTACAGAAGCTAACCATTAAAAACGTCAAAACGTAATAAATATTTGACTTTTAATAAAGTAATATAAAAGTACTAAAGTACTGTATAACTTTGGCAACTGTTCAGTTTTGAGTTAGTTGTGACTCTGTTTGTAGAAACGACGAGGCCCCGAATGCAACACCAAGATGGCTTCTTATCACAACGAATGTAAGTGAATACTGCGAAATGTTATTTAAAAATATGTTTTCGATTACATTATACATGTCAACCTGTAATAGTCTTAGTTCATTTAAGGTAGAGTATTATACTGTTTTCTACAGACATGTCATAGCGATCTGCTTACTCAGCAAATGGAATGTAAGATTAGTAGTTTGTAGCCACTTTAGCAGCTAGCACCTTAAATGTAGACGTTAATCTGGTTTTCACCTGGTAATTTTAACCTAAAACCAGAGTTCAGTTAAAATTAGTCGTGTTTAAGCCAGAAAACATGTATCTGTTAATCCTGACTTGTTATTGCCAATTTTCCCAAGTTAGAGTTCATGTTGTTCCAGAATGATTGTTTTTAACTTATTACCAGAATTTATCACATATTAAACATGATTAATTAACAAATTAATCCTGACTTCAACCTAAAATGTATATGTTAATCCTGACTTTAATCCTGGAATTTGCATATAAAAAGTATTAAACTGTTTTCTACAGATATGACATAGCGATCTGCTTACTCAGCAAATGGAATGTAGTTTGCAGTCACTTTAGCAGCTACTGACTTATTAAAAACCGTAGCACCTATTGTTGCTCTATGGCTTTGGTGACTACGTAAATTATTGGAATTTTTTTAATTCTAGGAAACCTCCATGACTTTGGTAGGTTAGACTCAAGCATCATAAAGAAGGAGATGGGTGGAGAGGCGTGGGAGGGTCGGAGGGGTTGGGGGGAGTGGATGAAGGCCCCTATAAACAACAAGCTGCTGCAGAAAGAAATGAAAATCATCAGTTTCAAAGGCAAAAAAGCAAAACTCTGGAAACAAAGATGAATGAAAAGATAAATCTGTCAAAGTTCAGTAATACACAGGACTGTGTGTGTGTGTGTGTTTGTGTGTTTGCTTCCGTGAGAAGTCTTATCTGAGAAGACGACTCAAACAAATGTAATGTCTTCTTAAAAAAGCATGACAGTGCCGGTCCGATCTCTATCAGCTGGCAGCGTCACTGAGCATATGATGAAGATGACGATGATAATGATGATGATAAAGATGACATCGATAAGGACAATCAGGAATCTATAAATTCCTGATAATATGTTGCACAATTTCTATTGATCATCGATTGTTTTGCTGTTACGAAGGAAATGCTGCTGCCAATAACTGGTCAGTAGATGTGCTCGGGTCCTGTGCGTGACTTCAGAGGAAATGTTACACCTGTTAATGATGTTTTAATATTTTTGGGCTGATGTTTAGGCTAATTTTGTTCTGATTTCTTTGACTGAACCTTCAGCAGTTCTTGAACCACAGCGACGTTTCTTTACAGTCGCAGTACACTCTTCAACTTATTCTTTGGATGTTTGCTCTTTTTGTGTCATGGATCAATCCGATCCAATCAGCACTCTCTGTAGGTGCAGCAGCAGTGCATGCTGGGATGGGTGACACTACCTGGTTGTTTATTGGCTTTGAACTAGTGGAACCTGTTGCCTTTTAATCTGTTCTCATCCTGTATCTGTGTCTTCATCAACTCTTTATCGTTTTCTTCGTATTCATCCTCCACAGTACTGTCAGGATTTGCAGAAACATCACGTATGCATCTTGCCACACCGTCATGGCCACTGCGGTCGCCTGCAGCAACACAGGCAACATGCTGGTAGCTTTGATGTTGCTTCAAAACAAACCACTGCTCTGGAACGGACACTGGCCAGGCTAAAATAAACTACAGCGAAAACAACGAGGGCAATAGCTGGAGGGCTGACGAAGGCAACAGCAACAAGAGCAACAAGAACCAACAGTTACGAAACACAGGCAGGGGCAACTGAAGCAAAATCAACAGAGGTAGCAAAGGCTAGTGGGTCAACAGAGTGATAGCAGAATGTTTTAATGGTAGCAGGGTTAACAAAGGCAACAGCAACAGGAGCGACAACAGAGGCAACAGCTACAGGAGCGACAACAACAGAGGCAACAGCAACAGACATACTTGAGGAAACCGCAATGCACGAGGTCACCTCTAGGAGGTGTAACACTGGACAAGAAACAACAACACCACCAACAGCAACAGAAGTAGAAAAAAAACTACAGCAAAAAGCACACGATGAAAAACCACCGAGGCAACAACGACGTTAGCAAGACGACAGAACGGGCAAAAACAACAGCAACACAAACAACCAGGACAACTGTGGCAGGGGTCGCAAAGAGCAAAGGGGCAAAAAGACACCGGTTTCTGGGGTAAAATGTTGTTGTCAACATGTTGAAACAGATGTCAATCTGCAAAATAGAAACTGAAACAATGTAACATCAGCACAGGGTCATGGTGACCACAGGTCTAGACCTGGATCGTGGTACGTTTACAGAATCAAGACCATCTTCAGGTCCAGGTTTTACGCCTAGGTTGAAATCCAGGTCCAGGGTACGTTGGTATGAATGTTGAAGTGATGGTCGTGGCTGCAGCTGTTGCTCCTCCTGCTGTTTTGACAGAACAGGAAGTGTTTCTGGTCGAGTGAAGAAGAATGAAGCCGGTTTACGTTGAAGTTTATCTTTGAAGGGACCAGAAGCAGACTAACAGGAACGAGTCTGGACCTGATGACGAGAGACACTCACTGCACAGAGGCAGAAAGAGACAGGGAGAGAGAGAGAGAGATCAGATAGTGTGGAGTCACACCGGTGAACCAAAACCATGACTCAGGTGATCAGTAGGTGAAAACACCCAAAGATAAATTACGGGAAATTCAAACAACAATCAAGTCTTTGCAGTTGGAGTCGAACATGTCTCCCATTCCACTCAGAACCTGCCCGTCAGCTGGTACTCCTGTTATTCTGTCACTTGCACATCTTTTAATTTTTTTAGTTTTTTTTAATTTACCTTAGTGACACAAACCTTCCACCTGAGGCAGCAGAGAACCATCTGTTGATGTGGCCTCATGAGCTTAAATCAGTCATTTTCTCTTGACTTAGACTAATTAAGTAAACATAGAATAAAAATATTTTAGACACGTAATAAGGTCGTTCTGGGCAAATACGTAAATGAACAAAGGTGATGATGCTGCGCATAACAGGAAGTGATGATTCATTGGCAGGAAACTGGTCATTTTCTTATCTCCTCATCTGAGTCTGTGCCGTCTCAGACTCTGTCTCCTTCTGTCAGATAGACATGTCACCTGTGGATGTCCTTTGGTCGGTCATAATCCAGGTGTGGGAACCTCAGGTGTCTTTCCTGTCACATGATCGATGCTGTTTCTCTGTCCGCGTCACTGAACCACGGCAGGAATGTCAGCAACGTGCGCACACACACACACATGCGTCCACACACATACGGTCATGTAGCTTCGTAACTGTGTGTTCTTTGGTTCCTCGATGACTTTTTATATTTATTAGAGGAACTTAAAAAATAATAAAGTTTCTGTATGAAATATAAATAACGAGATTCCGCGATGATGTCGTCAGGTGCTCTTTAAATCATTAACATTATCCGTCGTCTTCAGCTGTATGTGTGGACAGAAGGAAGGACAAAGACATATGTATCCACTGAGTGTGTGTGTGTGTATGTGTGTGTGTTCACAGTTAATGGGGCAATGAAAAGACACAACAAGCAGAGAGTGTTTAATCCAAACAAACTGCCTACTCCTCGGCCCGTCAGTGTCTCACCTTAATGTTACGACCCTGACCTTAACCTTAAATGTAGACGTTAATCTGGTTTTAATCAGAAGTCACCTGATAATTCTAACCTGAAACCAGAATTCAGTCAGAATTAGTTGTATTTAAGACAGAAAACATGTATCTGTTAATCCTGACTTGTTATTGCCAATTTTCCCAAGTTAGAATTCATGATGATCCAGAATTATAATTTTTTTTACTTATTACTAGAATTTATCACATCCTGTCTTCAACCTAAAATGTATATGTTAATCCTCACATGTAAATACTGACATAAACCTAACATTTACATGTTAATCCTGAGTTTAATCTTGGCCAAAGATTTGCATAAATTGTATTTTAATTAACATTTTCATCTCGACTTTATTTTAATCCTGACTTCAACTTGAAATTCACATGAAACAAAATGTAAAAGGTAATCCTCATTTTTAGCAGACATTTACATAAAAACTTTGACTCACATCTACATGTTTAAAGTCTGGTTTAGGAGTTAGCGGTACATGTTAATCCTGACTTAACCCTGACCTTCAGCAGTGAAGTTCTGCCTCATTAGAACCAGACTTTGGTCTAGTGACGTTTTTGGTTGAGAAAAACCAGTTGACAGGTAATTTGAGACGCTGTCACACACCTGGACACTTGGCTCTGTGTGTGTGTGTAAGAGAGAGAAAGTTTGTGTATGTGTGTGTGTCTGTTTGTGTTCACTGTAAACACTATTTCTCCTTCAGTGTGAAAAACACCACCGTCATGAGACGTCACTTCAAAGAGTTTACAAACGTTCAGATTAATGAACGCCTTCGAATTATTTACTGCTGTTTAGGCTGTAAACGTCCAAAAATTATACTTTAAAAATAGAGGGGTGTGTTAGAACAGTAGGTCTGGGACAGTGGTATTAATTAAAAATAATTACATTTAAACAATCATTACAAAATTCAACTCAATCAATAACAATATTAAATAATTACTTTAATATTGTTGTGTTATTATTGTTATGTTATATATTGCCTACTGATCTTGTGAGCCTCTGTTCCCAGAATGCATTGTGTCCTGGTGTCTACTAGAAACAAAGTGAGTTCACATGTCCGAGTCCAAAGGTCAAAACTTCAAGTCAGGTCACTGTGTTAGCATTAGCATTACCACTAGCATGTGGTAGTTTAGGGTCAGTGATGTCGCGGCTGGTGTAAGCGTGCAGACTGATTGAGTTTTTTTTTGGGTTTTTTTATAAAGAAGAAAAGAGAATTTGAAAAGAGAGGAGAGTAGGGGGAGCAGGTGGAGACATAACAAGAGCACAGAGTCAAGAAGAAGAGTGGAGGAGCTGAAAGATAAAAGACAGGGACGAGACAGAGACGGAGACCCAGACAGAGCGAGGAAGGGAGAGAGAGACAGAGACCCAGACTGAGCCAGAGAGAGCCAGAGACAGAGAGACAGAGAGAGAGACAGAGACAGAGAGACAGAGAGAGAGCTAAGACCAAAAGCAGGTGTTGATGCCTGTAATAGTTTACTGACATTATTTTATTTATTGATAATTATGATGACGGTAACAAAGAAAACTAATGTTTCATTGTCCCTCCCTAACCCTATCCCTAACCCTACCCCCACCCCAACATTTGTTTTGTAGTTAATTTTATTAATTTTTCAGAGTTTTTTTGTATTTTTTCATTTTAATTTTATAATTTTTCTTTGGAGCAGTGATGGAGGTGAAGAGTCGTGGACATCAGCTGTTCACTCAGCGTTAACATCACTAAAATCACTCCACCTCTGAGACCACACTCCTCCATGCTCCTCCATCTTCGTCCTCTGCTGTGCATTAGCTGCCCCCCCTCCACACACACACACATCCTCTTCTTTTTTCTCCTCACACACATCTTTGTTGTGTGTAAAGTGAGTAAAAACACTACTTTTAAGTTTATACCTGGCCACGCCCACCTGTACACACGTCATTAATTAATGGCGTCACATGTCATTTAATTTGCATCATCACTGTCTGTTGTTTTAACCATATAATATAGTCCATTATGGGCGTGTCCACATATTACGTCACTTACTGTATGTCGAGCTGCCCCGCTGACTGCTCAACTTTGGTTTTTAAGGAAGCAGCGCCACCTGTTGTTCACAATAAGCATGACACAAGGTGTAACTATCATATATATATAAGATATATATCTTATTATTATAATTAATTTAACTTAATTATACACCAACACTGTCTGGGACCAGGCTCCACTAAGATGGAGACAACTTTAGTGTTGCTCACAGTGGCATTGACATTTGAAAGTGTTGATATAAACACCAAGTTCTTGTTATGTCATACTGCGAGAGAATTAGTTAAAATTTTACTAGACACTTGTACGATTATTCCCAAAACCTGATCAGCTACTTCCTGTAGAGTAGAAGGTTTACTGACGTGGCTGAAGATCAGGAGTTGGAGGAGAAATTAGACCTTCACTTCTCTCCAGACGCTCTAATTCAACCAGTGACTGACAGCAGCAACTGTGTGTGTATTGTGGGTTGGGGGTAGGTTAAAGGTTACATCTGGTTTACGTGTCGCTCCTCGTCTTCAAATAACATCTCTTCGTCTTCTCTGTCCTCTGCTGCCGCCGCCGCCGCTGCAGGTCTCTGAGAAACACGATTAATCAGACGCCGGTGACAGCATCGAAATACCTGATCGAGGGGAGGCCGGCATGGGCGGAGCCTTGTGTAAGGCAGAGGTGGAGGAGGAGAAGAGGAGCGAGGGGAGGGAGGAGAGTTTGACATCAGTGGACAGAATCAGACGAATAACTGTCAAACAGTTTGGATACAACGTCCTGAGTCTGGCTCGGAGAGGACTGAAGGTATGGACACCCAAGTATTATCTCCCACGTTTGTCTTTATCTCTTTACCCCCGTTCTCCTCACCCCCCCTCCTCCTCTTCCTCCTCAGGAGGTTCCAGTTGAGCTGTGGGAGCTGCTGGAGCTGGAGAAGCTGAATTTGTCCCTCAACAGTCTAGAGATTCTCCCTCCTTCACTGTCTCTTCTCCCTAACCTGGTGGTTCTCAACTTGTGGGGCAACAAGGTGAAATCCTGCACTCCTGTCCACAGGAGGGCGCACTTTCACACCATCACATTTTTCTTATCAGCACTCTTTCATTTACTCTCTTACCCTTTCCTCTCATACCTGGAAAACTGATTCCACCTTTTTTGTTTTTAATCCTAACCAAGCAAACATTAGCTTTAGCCCCAGAGTGCTGTTAGTTTTGTGTTGGCTGCTGGACGGAGCAGATGTTTGGAAAGAATTGAAGGTAAAAGTTTGTTTGTTGTTGGTTTGTTGTTGTTTACAGCTCAGCAGCCTTCCTCCAGAGATCGGCCAGTTGAGGAATCTCCGTGTTTTATTCGCCTACAGGAACAAACTCGTGGAGGTTCCTGAAGAACTGGGAGCCTGCACACAACTAGAGGTACCAGTACAGTCAAGACTAATTCACATGTGAAAACGGCCTGTGTTCTACTACAGAAATCCCTCCCCAAAATACTCCTTCTGCTTCTAAGAATTCTGGGAACTAAGTAATTCAAGAAAATAAAAGGAACACTTAGGATATAATTTAACTTCGTTGTAAATGTCTTAAACTAAAACCTTGATCTCTCAGGTTCTGAGTTTGGCCAACAACCAGCTGACTTCACTCCCAGCGTCTCTGTCAAACTTGACCCAACTCAGGAAACTCAACCTCAGCCACAATCACATCACTCACCTGCCAGGCTGCGTCTACAACATGAAGGAGCTGGTATATATGCACCGACATACCAGTAGGTGGCCCCGTAAATAGAACCTCTCACCACAGAATGATTTCTTTTTTTTTTTTTAATCTGCTCCCACAGGTGTTTCGTCACCTGGCCTTTAACCAACTGGAGAGCCTGGCTGAGAACATCCAGGCTCTGGTAGAACTCAGGATTCTCATCATGGAGGGCAACAGTCTTCACTCACTGCCAAAGGCTCTCTGCTGTCTGACCAGGTCATTTAATCAGGTTTAATGTCAGTCACTCATGTTATTAAACTGACCAGTGTCTGTGTCTGTGTCTGTGACTCTGGTTCCAGGCTGGAGCTCTTGAACTTGGATTTTAATGACATTAAAGATGTTCCACAGGTGAGCACCCAAACAGGGATTGTTGTAATAATAATAAATATATATATATTGTGTTTTGATGATATAAAAATAACGACATTTGTGTGCTCAGGAGCTCCACCAACTGGCCAGTCTGGAGAAGTTAGCGTGTCACCCTCTGGACAAAGGTCTCCACATCGTTCACAACCCACTGCTGAAGCCACTGAAGGAGGGGCTGCAGGGCGGACTCTCGGCACG